GTACTGCCACAAGAAAAGCTGCCAGTACAGAAAGTCTCCACAGCCCCTTGAAATTAGGACAGTAGGGACCAAAGAACATCAATATTGAATGTAGATCACTAATCTAGGTGTCGCCTGGCCAGATTCCTGAGAGGAGGATATGGAAGTACATTACTTGTGACTCAGTGATTTAGATACTCTCCCCTTGCCCCATCCCCACTTTCTTAAGTGCCACAGTTGACAAACAGGTTTGGGAACTTAAAGTGGAGAATGGACATCCTCAATCCAGAAGTGCACTGGCTTAACATATTATTTCCTACACCACTTGGGTACAAGAGAATCCTGGGTGAATCCCACTGGAATTCATACTAATACCCTTGGGCTACAGAAAACCACAAAGCAATCAGCTCCTCAGAAATAAAATGACTTTATTTCAGCTAAGGGTTCACATGAGAAACTCCAAGAGGCACATCCATTTCATCCCAGTGGAGAGCATTTCAGAATCCCTTTGTCTTAATCTCTGTATATTGTCTCATATGTCACTGGCTGCACACCAAACTTCAAGGTGACTAGCAGGATCAGGCACACAGTGGGCACATAATATCTGCAGATGGAATAAGCAATCAAATCAAAGGATCAAAGTGACTGTAAATAAAGTAAGGAGTTAACTTGTCATGCATTGCTCAACCAGCTTTGACACCAGAACAAGCCCTTCTTAGCAAAACAATTGCATGATTTGGCCTATGATGCAATCCAGGCAGTAAACATTCACTTTGGGCAAAACCAAAAGTTAGAAGATGGCACTCACTTACCAACACAGAGGAAAATGAGAAGCACCACCCCTTCTCCCCCTTCTATTCTTCCACTAGAAGTTTACCTGTGCTCTTGTGCCAAACTCCTTATCTATCAGGCACTGGAGTGTCAAGGATGAATAAACCCACTCACAGCCTCTCATCACAATTTAGAGGTGGGGGCAGGAATTGAAACAGACTTCCTGAAGGATAAGAACTACATAGACTAAAAGCACAAGGCAGAAGGTCCACCAATCAGGGAAGTTTATGGCTATAGGGTCATTTTCAAGTACCTGCCTATTCTGTCCTCTCAGATTGCTCTAATGAAAAGCCTGGTGGACACACTGCATGTCTCAGAAAGTTAGTTTAATGGACATGTTAGCCATTCATTCCACTAGGTTTTCTGCATTGAGGATCATCACCAGAATCTCCATCACTGGATCACAGGAGCTTGGGCCCCAGAGATAACTCATATCAGGTTACTTTTCTTCACTGAGCCTTCTGAATTTTTTTTCTCCCTCTTGAGGACTGGTAAAACACATGACCATATAAACTTTACTTCATTTTCTGTAGAATCCAAGTTGAAGCACTGTCCATGGCATAATTTGATCTTTCATATGAATATATTCTAGTTGCCAGGCACCATGGTGAGCTCTCTACATATTATCTGATCTATACCAACAACTTGCTTGTATGCCCTCCAGATCTCTCTTTCTCTCTCTCTCTTTTTCCTATTAACTTGGCTGTTACAAAGCTCAGAGATAAAGTAAATAAAGCAGTAAACACTTAGGATTTTAGTTTATCTTTCCTTCCCATTTTTAACAGTCTTGTTATTTTGTGGAATTTTTACTATGCATTTACTCAGACACATTTCTGAAAGTCGATTCTCTATAAACAAAAACAAATTACCATAATCATCGATTGTAATTTCCTCTTATTCCCAATTGGCAAGAATTTCCATGAATAATTAATCTGAAGATGACCCCTTGGCTATCAAATTCTGGTCACTTGAAAGCTCACATAATGCAGTATTTTGCACCATCATCTGGTTCAGAATATATGTATGAAAGTGCAACCGGGGGGAAAGAGAAGAGGTTGGCTGACTTGAGTTACAACATACAGTCATCATCAGGTTATTTCCAAATCTATTACCAAGGAGTATATCTATCTTGTGTTGGAACTTGCCAGTCCCATTCCCCTTTCCCTCCCAAGCCACCATTTTTATAGCCTAAACTATATCACCACACGCCCTTGGTCCTCTTAGGACTGCCAAGGCCAAAGACACTGCCAAGACCTGCTGAGTGAGAAGTCGCTGCAATCACCCAGTGATGTCTAGTCTCTGGAATTTGACTCTTAGTACTGACAATGCTCCTGGAACCCATAAAGATTCTGCTAAAATTCAGGGAGTTGACGGTCACTGTCTTCAGGGAATCAAGGTAACATTTGAAAGGCAATCTCCACCACTGCTGAAGGTAGGCAAATGCCTGGAGCAATTTGGAGAAATAACTCTCTACAATGTTGCTGCTATACAGAATGGCAGGCCAGCTGTTATCAGAGAGGGTGAGGAGGTGCAAAGATTGAACCATGTAAACATGGTATGTGTGTGTATTTGCGTGCACAAGCATACACACGAGCCACAAATTTTGGCATGCCCAACTGGCACCCATTTGCAATGCTGAGTCAGGCATTAGGGGAACATGATGTTTGGGCACAACCATTAATTTGTTCAACAAAGATTTACTCAGCACCTACTGTGTGTCAAGTGTTCTTCTAGATGCTGGGAAATCTAGAGTCAATGAAGTAGTCAAGACTCCCATTTTTATGGGCTCTATACTGTAGGCAGAGTAGACAGGTAATCAACAAATATCAAATGAAATGAACAATTCAGATTGCAAAGAAGATGAAAGGAGGAAAAAGATGCAAACAAACAAAGTGAACGTTTTAAAAAGGAATAAGGGACTGTCTTTGCTCCAAGGTGACACAGAACCTTATAACAGAATGAGAAAGAGCTAAAGAAATCAATCACCTATATTCTGATTTCCATCAAAAGATGAGCTTACTAAAAATTTTATTTTATAATCAAACATGCAATCTCATGTGTGGCCCCCTAACATCTCATGCTTCAAACAACTGGAAACACCTTAGGAAAGGAAAGGAATCCTCAGCTTTCCCTGTTCTTAAGGGGATTTTAAGAATTCACTTCCCCCCCGCCCCCCCAAGATGCTAGATTAAAAGCAAATTGTCTTAGTTCTTCTCTACAACAGAATTTACTACAAAAAAGTGAAAATGGGAGAAATGTAATGCCAGTTACTTTATACAACAATATTCCCAATGTCAATGAAATTATGCTTTTGCATTGTAGAACCAACAGGAATCACTTCATAAAAAACCCAAAAGAATTTGGTAAGCTATGTTCAGTATCATTTACTTTTACTCATAAAATAAAGCCAAACTCTATTTACTAGCAGATGTTTTCACTTCCAATATATAATAAACCTTTGAAATTAATTAAAAATAAAATTCTACCAGCATCTGTTTAACATGCACAAATAATAAATAGTTGCTCACCAGACCCTACATATAAAATACCCCAAACAAATCACTTACTTCTAAATTGCCATTAGGGTCCATTAACTCACTTAGCCAACTGACATGAAAATGTCTTAAAATCATCCACTGTTCAAAATACTTTTGAAATACCTTTTTCATTAATGTTTCTTAGCTTATGCCTCCTTTCAGAGTTAGAATTAAGCAGAATGAATTAGGGAGTAGAATCGTCATCATGAATATTCAGAATGAATCATGGAACATTTTCACTAAAATGCAGTTTTTATTCCTTTGCAATACAGTGCATGTAATATTTTGTTGCAATGATAACAAACTAAGGATAAATGATGTAAAAACACTGCCTACCAGGTTTACTTTATCTAATACATTTATCATTATAAAAATTGTTCTGTTCTCGTATGAATGCACAGTACCTGGAATGCTTCATTTCTTTAACTTAAAATAGTCTTCATAATTGAATCTCACTAGTACCTAAGACCAATTATATGCTGAGGGGAAGGATTTATTTCAAGTATATTTACCAGTTAGACATAGTGTTTGAATCTTCACAAATTCTAAACGTGTGTGGAGAGAGGAGGGTGAAGAGTCTGAACTTGACTGCTCAGGTAAACACTTTCTTTGACTCACGTTTGGAATTGCTATGCTTCAGACCCTTCTTTTAAATTTTCCCATTTGGAGAAAATTATACATTTAGCTTTTAACTGAAAAACAAAAACAAAAACAAAAAACAACCCTCATTCCACCCCACCCCCAGTCTTCTTAAAACAAATCAGAAGGCTTAAGAATTAGCTCCAATAATAATCCTATAATGGTCATCAGGAAATCCTCCTCCAAAATGACAACTGCAGCTAAGAAGGACGAAATTAACTAGGAATAAAAACTACCCAAATGAATCCTTCCCCAAGAGGTGGGTAATGCACATCTGGAACAACTGGTAACACAACCAACTCGAGATGACCCAGAGGAAGATGCTGCGTCAAGAACAGCAAAGCAAAGAAGCGCGACTCGGGAGTCTAGTAGAATCGCCACCGATTTCCCAAAGAGGCAGAGAGCAGCAGAGTTGAGTCGCCAGGCACTGGTAACAGCGCACGACAGCTTTCAGGGCAATTCTCCATTCCAAATCCCGGAGTTCCAGGGCAGGAGAAAAAAAGGGGGACAGGAGACCCAAGTCCCTTTAAACTGCACCCCCCTCCCCCGTGCCTGCCAACCTTTTCCGAACCCCCATGTCACACAACTTCCTCATCATGGAAACTTCCACTCGGTTGGGCGCTGAGGATGCCAAACTCCATTTCACAAGGAGCCTGTCAACAACTGGGCTTGGGGTTTGAGGAACAGCCGCTGCGAATGAAGGGGGCCCCTAGACACCCTGCTCCGCCACTGCCCACGCCGTGGCTCCCTGCCTGCAGCCCCGCGGTGGCGGAGCGCGAGAGGGCACCTCCTCCCAGACCCCGGGCGCAGAAACCCCGCGGAGGCAGGTCAGGAGGCGATGACACCCCCGCCCGCCCACGCCTGCCCGCCCGCGCGCGCCGAGCTTTACCGCCGGCACCCGTCCAGGTTCCTGCGACACCCAGTCCCCACCTTCTGGACGGTGGGAACTGTCGCCCCCTCCTCCGCCTACCCACCACCCCCTGCCTCCTCCGCGCAGTCCTCTTGCCAAATTACCGGAGCCCTCGAGCCTGTTGGGTTGACCGCCCGAGCCCGGGGAAGGCAGCCTGCGGGCGCTTGCCCCGAGCCCGGGGAGCAGAAGGTCTCCTTTCCAAGCGCACTCACATTATTCATGCAAAGTTAATCCCCGCCGCGTCACGGCCGCCCGCCCGAGGATGTGCGCCTTCCTTGGCCAAGCCCCGCAGTCTCCACCCTCCTCCGCCCCCTCCTCCTGGCGGCGGGGTCCCGGGGAGCGCAGGCGACCGGGCGTCGCGCGACTCCACGAAATGTCAACTCCTTGAGCGAAGAGAGGCGGCCGTAGCCAGGGCCGCTCCAGCCCTCCCCGGCCACTCCACTTTTATAGGCGTAGGAAGCTAGTGTGGCCGGGGACACGGGAGTCCCCGCCTCTCCGGCCCCCCGCGTGCCTGGCCCGCCCCGGCCCGTTCCCCGCTCGCTGCCTTACTCTGGGCTCTGGGTACCGGTTCCGTGCCGGGTGTGCGACCCGTGACCTGGTTTCCCCTGCAGCCCTCCCGGCGGTCCGACTCGCGCGGCGGCGGCGGCGGCCAAGAGCAGGCAAACCGGGCTCCGCCAGGGGCGCAGCGAGGAAATGGCCTCCTAGCCGCACACCCGCCGCCGCCGCCGCCTGCCCGGGCAGCCCGGCGGGTACTGACGCCCCGCGTCGGCTCCGGGCCCGTACTCCGACGCGCTCTCAGTGCCCAACTCTCTGACCCCCACCCCAGGCGCATCCACACACACCATCCCGGGGCCAACCGCCTCCGCACCTGCCTCCCCAGGTGCGGGAGCTCCCCCTCCTCCCAGTCCCGGCCGTGCCAGCCACCGGGCGTGCCCTTCCAGGGGTGGTGACGTTGCCACGGGTTTGGTGGCCGCACGTCCGCCCACCCGATTGTAGGCGCACGAAGGTTCGAGTTTGGGCGTCATTCCTCTAGTTTCGGAAGAGGAAGGAATGGTGGGGATGAGTGACAAGGGGACCAGGCGGGGGACTTCTAGGAGCATGGCCTTCTTTGCCCGGCGCGACAGGCGCGCCCCGTGCCGCTGCACTCCTTTTAACGCCCCCAAACAACTTGTGGCGCGTGTCGGGACGACTCAGAGCTCTCATTGCTCCCGGGGCCTCCCGCTGGCCAGGCCGTCTGGCGGTTTTCATACCCACAGTCACCCTCAGAATGGAAGTTTGGAAAATACCTTGCTAGTGCTTAAGGGAGACGACCCCCTACCCCCGCCACACACACACACACACACACACACACACACACACACAACATTATGCACTCCTGGGAGAAGTGTGGTGCAAGGTTGGAACACTTCACACCCCATTAATAATGGGACACCCCATTATTTTGTCTTTGCCCTGGAAATATACAAATAAAACCCAGAGGACAGAAATAATTCATACCCTTGAAGAGTTCTGCTTTGGCAAATAGCAGTTCTAGAATGTTTCCTACCTCAAGTCCTGAAGGTCAGTGGTTCAGGTTGTGAGAAAAATAAAGCTGGTGACTTGCTTCTGAGCTAGGTTGCTTGGAAAAATACCCACTACTCAGACAGCTAAAATGCAACCAGTGCCAAGTTATATTTGAACCAAACTGCTCAGACAACAGAGTTTTATTTTCTTATAAGCAACATTAAAATAATTTCTACTTCATAATTCAACATACACATTTATTCCTGTAACACACAGTGTAATAGAACTAGGACAATTTGTATCCTCAACTGTCTGAACAATGTAAAAATTAGTTATTAGAGAGTTTTCTACATTTCCAGCCTGCAACATGTGTTTTATTCCAGCTTCTTCTGAGTGTTCCACAGACAGGGGAGCAGCCACCACCCCTGCTGACAGAATCAGGAACCACAACTGTCAAGTACTCCTTCCCTGTATCTGGATGAACAGGGTTTCAGCCTACTTGGAGAGAGAAAGGTGCAGACCCCAAGACTCTCCCATTAGACTCCACAAGCTCCATTTCCCTTCTATCCTTTGTGAGAAATTCGTGCTTTATTCTTTGCTCTGAAGAAGTCTGCACCATAGAACTTGCCAGCTTCTATAGTGGAGACTTGTTTTTGCAGGGAAGTTCCTGGGCTTTCCTCCCAAGCTTCCCTGGGATGTTTTGGATGAATTGAAGGAAAGCCATGCAGTCAGTCCACACCACCAGTCCACACAGGCAGCCCCCTGGTGGCTAACTGTGGGTGGAAATCTGCTTGCTCAAGTAGGCCACATTTACATCTGGGTCTTCTGGTCCTCAAAGGGGCCAAAGGAGTCTAGTGAACAACTTTGTAGTAAGGCGAGATGGTGCTCATCTTCCTTCACATGGTGGATGACCAGCTACAAAGCCTGATGGAACGTCTTACTTTTTCCTCCTTCTGAGTATAACTTGGAGCTATTGGTTTTTCTAAATTCTTTCTTAAGAAGGATGAATGAATGTTAACAAAAACTTGCTTCTTTTTGTTTGAATAGATTGGTCTTTCTGATCTCATTTTGCCTGGAAACTTCTGAAATAAAGAGTCGATGAAAGCTTTATATAAATAACGTGGCGTTATTCGAACAATTCCTGAGACTATGATTCTAACAATGTTATGTAACGAGGCTACTGCAAGGTTATTGAAACAACAGGAACTAATAGGATTCCATTCCAACAGTCTCTCTGAGGGCAGTCTTCCAGACTGCGTGATGCTAAGGGTTACCAACAGAGCATGACATTTGTCTGGTTTTATACAAGGAGGGTGGGTGGAGCAGGATGTCATGAGGATCTGAGTAAAGGCAGGACATGTTCTTTAAATCTGAGAGCACATGGTCCTGTGTCCCACCAAGTGCAGTTGCCTTCAGAGAACATATGACAGACCCATGTCATATTCCACCTTAACCATTCTCATCACCAGAATCTACACATTTCAAGCTGATGATCAGGTTCAAAGAAGTGATCCATTCATATTAATCCTCCATCAGCTACTGGGGTAAGGAAATCAATGAAACATAGGGCCTAACTTCCGGGGTTTAGGATAAAGTGAAGTCAGTTGTGCAAGTACAGGATCTGAACCTGTTTTTATTTAACACTTGCAGATACTGTTCATTGTGGATGGTTATTATATTAATTTTGATTTTTTAAAACATTGCACTAAAAATTTTTCTCTCCATTCCTGAGCCTTTTGGCAACCCCTTACATTTTGTGCCAGAAGTGAGTGTCTTACTAAGCCTGGTTCTGCCATATTGGGTCCTGCACTACTGTCACCAGAGTCTAATCAGAGTAGTGAAGTTCAAGTTGGAGTTTACTGAGTAGAAAAGATGATTAATATGTGTTAAGAGACTTGAGGTCAGGGGGTTGGAGATGTAGGCATGAGGTGAGGGAAGAGCTCTAAAATTTCCCTGAGGTGTGGCACTGGGACCAGTTCAGCAGGGGCTGACCAGATTTTACATGGGAGTGTGGGCATTGAAGAAGTACCATTTCTGGGGCCTGGATCATTGGTATTCTGTCATTCACTCAACAACTACTTCTCAAGCTGGCTTACAAGCTAGCCCAAGAGATTCTCATTTTCACTGTTATTCCTGGAACTTATTTTTGCTATGAAAGCACCAGTGATTCTGGTCCTAGCAGCTGAATAATAATGGAAAACCTGTGGCTGAGGTTGTGGCTCAGTGGTAGAGCGCTCACCTAGCACTTGCGAGGTCCTGGGTTTGATCCTCAGCACCACATAAAAATAAATAAATAAAATAAAGATATTGTGTCCAACTACAACTAAAAAATAAATAAATATTTAAAAAAGAATGAAAACCCTACCTCAGATCTTTAGGAAAGACAGACTCATAGAGAAGACGACAGATTCAAAATTAACTAATTGAAGGGTAAAAGTTCAATAAGAAATTCTCCCTTGGTGTTCCTGGGGCATTGGTTCCAGGACACCTCTGTAACTCCCTAAACATTCTGATGGTCAAGACCCATATATAAAATGGTGTAGTATTTGCATGTAACCAACACATACCCTCCTTTGTACTTTAATTCATATCTAAACTACTTACAATATAAACTCTATGTAAGTAATTATTGTACTGTATTGTTAAGGATATAAAGACAATGTTCAATTCAGATGCAATTTTTAATATACCACTTTCTACCTGTGGTTGCTTGAATCTGCAGATGTAGAGTCCAAGGATATGGAGGACTGACTGTATCAATAGGTATGTGAAATTGTGGCAAAGAGACCAAGATAACTCAGGAAGAATGAGGAAATCAGGTTAGAATTTCTGCAGAAGGTAACTGGGGTTTAACTTCTAGAAGAAGTTGGGGGTGGAGGAGGGAAGAAAGACAGAGAGGGCTGTAATATTAACAGGGCACAGTACAAAATGAAAGTATGGGTTCTTTTTTTCTCAAAAAAAGCAGGGGAAAAATTGCCACGAAATATACAAAACAAACAGCTATTTCCTTTCCCCCTATATTCTATCTTTGAAATTGTCATGGTATTTTTTATTTGCTATTGAATATCATTGTAGGGACAGAAGAATAAATTATTAGCATAAATTTTTTACTGTTCATCCTGACATTGTGCAATGTCAGTTTTAAGGGCAAATGTAATAGCATTTAATTCACGGGAAAAATCAACAAAATTACACTGTTCATATTTCGTAACTTGTATATGCCAGAATTAAACTGCTCCTATTTCACTTCTTGACATGGGCCCCATCCACTAACACTCTGCCTATGGCATGCTGGAAGGTAAGGAAGACCTGAGAAGAATGGGACCTATGGGTCGTTCTATCTCTCTTTTTTTTTTTTATTATTTTCAGAATAAATGGTTAGCTAATTCAGGGAAGTAACATGAGTAAGAAAGGACACAAAAAGGCTCCTGGGCTGTTGTCTTCTTCCTGTGTTCAACATAAGCTCTGGGTGGAGTGAAAGCCATGGCCTCTTTGGGTCATTGTCAGTATCCATACTTACTCAGTCTTAGATGTGACATGCTTCCTTTGTATGTTTACCCTGAATTTGCTAAAGTTTCACACGCTGTGGGTCCTGTCCTCTGCAATTCTGTGTTCGTGAACATTAAGAATATTATATTGTGAGTGGAGCAGTGAAATGATGGTGGACATGCATGTTGAGTGTATTTCCTGTGTTCACGTACACACTCTAGGGTCCC